CCCTTTGATCCATATAGTGATCCAAATGCCATAACTGGCAGATCGTGCGCAGGGATTGGGCGCCCAATACAGTCCGACCCCTATCCGTGTCCTGGAGTGAGCCCAACATCTGTTGGATCACATATTTTGTGTTCGACACGTGATTGTCGTAATCGATGCATAACTCGAGGTATTGTTTGATCACTTCGTCCATCGGTAGCAACTCATCTCTGACCATAAATACTGAGCAATTCTTCTGCGCCGCGCGCGCTATCATCACAGATGAACAGCCAGTGCTCTCTCGGAACCGTTTGATGTCCGCGTGGACACCGATCTCATCGGAACCGCCGTTGGCTATCACTGGTATATTCGCGGTTCGGGCGATGGCCTCGATATAGTGGTTACGGTTCGGGTCCTTCGGTCGCTCGCATTGAGTCCTGCCGTGAATGGCCAGAGCTGTGACGCCCGCGGACTCAATCATTTTCACTAAACTCAACGTCTGCTCAATGGATGGCAAAACTCTGATCTTAGCGGTGATCGGTTTCCCTCCGGTGCCCATCACTAGTGTCCGCAATATATCGTACACTTTGTCCGGTTGTGTCAATAGAGCTGAACCCATACCGCCCTTAANTCCCTCCGGTGCCCATCACTAGTGTCCGCAATATATCGTACACTTTGTCCGGTTGTGTCAATAGAGCTGAACCCATACCGCCCTTAATTGAGAACGATTTGGGACAACCCATGTTCACGTCAATGGCCGCCACATCCGCGGCCACGAGTCGGGCGGCGGTCAGCGCCCTCTGCGGGTCATTAGTGCCCAATTGGAGGACCAATCGGTCGCGTTCTTCAGCGCACGTCCGGAACACCACAACCGCCTGATCGTCGATGTAGTCAACGGTTCCCAACACGTGGTTAACCACACGCTGGCATCGGATCAGCTTATAGTCGATGAGCTCTTCGGTGTAGACAATGTCGGCGCCGAACCGGAGGGACAGTAAACGCATGGGAAGTGTCGACGTCCTCACCATCGGAGCCAATATTGTCTTCCCTGAGAAACAGATGGTCTCTTCCGGACGCTCTTCTTGTTGTTGATGGCGATCACCATTAGCTGATCCGTTCTCATTGTCGGCCCGATTATCATCCATTGATTTGCTGGACATATGTAAGGCTCACATCACTATTAATTGATCCCAAAAACTAAACACACATTGAATTCAATGCAAAACATGTCTTTTAAACGCGTTTTTTGTCAATAAATTACGTCCAGAAATAACCCTTTGATAACAAAGTTTTGTTACTAAAAAACTTTAATTATTAATTAAAAGTTTATTTAATTGTAATATAAATAAATGACTAATTATTTAACGATTAAAAGTGATAATCAGTTAAATATGTCTAACATTTCCGGAGTTTTTTGTATTGAAAACGTGTTAATGAAAAGTGAAGTGAGTTTTAATCAAAAGGCGTTATCAATGTTTATGATATGATTGTAACCCACAGTACAGTGTATTCCCGATAACACCATAATCTATATATAGACTGTACCGATGGATAGTGTATTGAAAGCCTATTATCGGTTAATAGTGTACAAAATGATTAGTAAATTGTGTTCACTATATATAAAGTACACTATAAGACAATATACTGTACAAACAGGTGTGTCGGGTATAGCGAGCGTCGACTGTACTGTTACTCAATGCAAAGGTATTGAGAGATATAAACAGAAAACATATGATTATATCATTAATTATGTAAACAATTGTCACTAAAAAAGTTGTAAACAATTCTCACTTTCCGTTTCTCTCAAAGACTTTTGATCCCAAAGACTGGTCACCTCAAGACATATTCCTCCACAACAACGACCACAACAACAACACCAATACGGATACCATTCCTCGGCAACCATTCCCTTACCATCCCATCAGACAATGTCTGCCACACGAAGACATTATGACGACTCGTCGGCGGACGACGAGTACACGGAACTGATCCGAGACATCACTGAAGAACCGGATCAGTACGACGACGACCGCCACTTCAGCCGCCATCGCAGCGACTCTTCGTCAGACATGGAACCGATCGACAGGTGATTATAACTACTCTCATAATTATTGCCACTATTTTGATCATCAAATCTCTACCTCTGAAGACTATCACTGGTGAAGATTACCTTCGCGTTGATTGGTTTGTCACAACTGCTTCCCTGGAACTTCTTGATCACCGCCAATGATGTAATGATGCCATTATTGCCGCAATGTTTACTACTATTACATGTGTGTCAATAAATGTCTTGAATTAACCTTTGAAACAGTACTGGAACTACAAGTTTCGTGACATCAACGGCACCATCGATGACACCATTGAATCCACTTCTTCAGCGCCGGTCACATCACTGCAGAAGTACTTCGAGAGCTATGTCTCTATCGCCACGAATGTGCCGTTTCTGGCGGTACTGGCGTTCAACGCCCTCTTCGGTCACAAGTATGTGTCCAACGGATC